GGGCTTAATATGCGGCTGGGCCTATTAACCGTGGGCTTAATAACCGGCGACTCCTGTATTGGCGGAATTTAACGAAAAAGGGAAATTCGACATTCTATTGGCGGAAGTTAACGAAAAAAGGGAAAGTCGGGTTACTGAAAAGGTAAAAGTAGGCAAAAGGCAAAAAGGACCTCTAAAGACAGGCCTACCTTTATTTTAAGTAACAAACTCATCTAAGGCTCTTCACTACTATTTCCGATTTATCGTAAATGCGTTAGTGCCAATTTGCTAGAAATGATCAATTTTTGGAAAAATTCGTCATTTTGCATGACTTTCCGGCCGCACTGTAGCTTTAAAGTCAAGTGGCGGCGCTCATAGACCTACTACTATTGTGGGACGTCTGCCTTCAAACTCTAGGCTAGAACCGGCCCAACTGATGCGCTGTTATCGATTGAGAAGCGTTCGCGAAAAAGACCAGAGAGAACAGAATGACAGTTGTTGGCGTAGTCGCAATCGTCTGACAGTACTGGCAGTGAGCATCCAAAATACCAGTCTGAAGAGGGTACTATAAAGTGGCGACCATGCACCATAACCACTACAGCTGTCTCGTATTTAAACAGCAATGGGACAAATTGATCGGGTGGTCATTCGTGCGTTTCCAGTACTAATGGATATTCGCAAATTGCTTATAAGGAGAACCTCATGTGGACATCCTCGAGGCGTGAGGAGCCGAAATGAATCGGAGAACTCTTGAGCCTGCATGGCAAGAAAGCGCAAAAGCTAGGATAAACCAGGCATTAAGACACCTGGTTCACAATAAATATTCCTGAGAAGGATACATGCAATTCAGAAGGAACGTAATGTACACTGTGCGACGTACCGGGTACCAGTAACGTGTTGGTAACGTGTTCGAGCAACCATTGAGTGCAGAGCATGACCCCATTCGTGAAAGAGGTTCTCAATCTGACTGGGATGCAGCAGCAGAGGTGTGGCATCCTCTCGTCCAGAGGGACTCGGACCCAGATTCAAGTGCAATACCACTATTGGAAACTGGTAGGGTGAGTGCGCCTCAAACATGGTATCCTCTGTGTGTCGCCCACCGCGGACGGTATAGTGACAGTCCTGAAAGAAGAAGCAACGCGTAATGGGGTGTGGGAGAGGGATAATGTAGAAGTAGAGCCACACATAAAGGGATTCTACCCACTTGGGCAGGTTTATTGGGACGGTCGAAGAAGTCGCAATACACTGTGCCAATCTGAACACCCGGTCCTATAGGATAAGCCCGCTCCCAGGGATGTACACCACCGGCGTCGTCTTCATCAGTAGGCACCTGAGCTTCGGTAGTGTATACAGCCACCTTGATTACGTCGCGATGCCAAATCTCACCCGGCAATGCAGGTTCAACCTGAAGACGCAGACCGAAGAGACTGTCGGCGAGTTGATTTACGCCCTCCATACAAGCACCCAGGGAGAAGAAAGGCAGCAATTTCTGGAGGAGGAAGAAAAACGAGCCCGAATGAATACGCGAAGGACAAATTCGGTACAGTGAATAGTAAAATCAACATAATCGGCAACAGGACTCTACCTGTGTCTCTTTTTTCTGCCGTCCGCATGATATGAGGTAAGGAATATCCCAGGCGTGTAGTCGTTTGCCCTGACTGGGACCGGCGGACCAAGGGATGGGAGCTTCTGGTGAGCAGAAGGGAAGGATCGGCAGGAGATAGCTTAGAGCGATATCCTTCGCGAGTGGGGAGAGTAGGCTAGCAAGTTTTTCGAGAAATGCCTTGGCACGCTCGGGGGATTCGGCCAGACTTGAGGGCTGAATTGCACGGCGAAGGTAAGAGTCCATTCCGGCAGAGCTGTGGGGGAAAAAAGACAGTCCAGTGACGACTGCATCGCACTTGTGCATGTATTTAAAATTAGCGGTTCCTGCACTTGTATGTAGTACTTCAACTTTGTAAAGATTGAATGCACAGCCATTAACTGGCAAACAGACCTACAATAAATAACCGGCGAGTCATTTCAACTTGCACTCCTCGGATTTAGCCATCGAAAAGGGAGTACTTGATCTCATACTGAGTACGCTTTTTGTATCTACCGCAGCACAAGGGAAGAGGCCGACAGTCAATTTTCCCTCTGGTTATTAAGAAAGATATGGATACCTTCAAACATAAAGATGGGGAGGCGCAGGCCAGCGGAAGATCGGCATGCAATCGATTGAGAGGAGGGCGACGTAGCGTTGTTTTAGAACTTCCATTACACGTGCTTAACTACTGATTAGGGTGGGATTATAAATGTCCCACCTGCACGTTGTGTTGATTTTGGGACTTACGTAGAATATAATGACAACATTTCTTATGCTCCTATATATGCCATTTATAGCACCCTGAAACAGACATTCATCAGACATTTACATCCATTTGGGCAAATTACAATACGTCTTCTAAGACGTCGATTTCCAAACGCCAACACCGCTGTCCACCTAAGGACCCTGAAGAGGAGGCTAACTCAAGACCTGGCTCGACACAGTTCGTGAAGACATAGAAGCGGTTCTTGGGCCTTCAGAATTCGTTGTCCGTTGTTAGAGAAAAGAATGGATTGAGTTTTCCAGATCCACTGTCGCAAATCGTATAATACGTGACATAATCGAGGCCGGGTAGATCAGGCATGATCACAGTGGTATCAAGTAAAAGTATGGAAGTACGGGCGCTGTGTCTTCTAATCTTAGTGTATTTAGTTTATTAGTCGCAGGACAAAATCGATCGCATGGATGTCGGTATGCCTTAACATGGCAGACGCTGTACTGATTCTATGACTATAAGAGATTAACGACCGGCTGGTCATTTCTAGACCAACAGTCATCTTACCACTTACCGAGGCAGTGAACTAAGCAATATTTCTAATGAGTATAATACTTTTAGTTTCTGCAGAGGATCGCCGGGTATGGCCAGACAAATAAGTAATCCACTACGTACTGGGCCGAAGCGAATACTCTTGGGGTAGGCATGATGTTGTTAAACACTACAACTAGGATGGAAAGTGTTCCCAAAGAAATAAAAGTGGGGAAAAGTAGACAATACGAAGATGAAGTAAAATCCACCTGCACTTCTTCTGCACCCGAAGCTTACATAAAATAAGCATATAAATAAGGGCCCACTACAAAGAAAACCAGGAGGGTATGCAAAAAAAGCTGTTTGAAATTTACCGTCAAGGTGACTTAACCGAAATCTTTCACCTAGCTGCTTGGATAAATTGATTGACAGAGCGATTAGAGACCTCTGAATTTCTAATTTATGGAAATAAATAAATCAAATGTCATTTATATTCACTCGTGATATTCCATTTGTAGGTGAAGAGTCAAGATTACGGCAATAAAAACAGTACTTGGCCCCAATTGGTGTTGTGCAGCAAACGAAAGAAGTGAAACATACACCGCCATAGTATTTCGAGAATGCAGCATTTCTCTGAGACATGCTTCCTGCCCGGGGATAGGTCCATAAAACAAGGTGAAGGTCAGAGCGCGGAGAAAATTCTGCGGCGTATAGTATATCGGTCCAAACAGCTCGAGCTCATTGAGTTTGCCCCAGTTAACTTCCGGCGAAATTGACCTCAGTATTTGATTGGTGAGGACAAACTGGGAGTTGGCAGCCTATGAAACGAAGTATACTCAGCAGTCATGGAAACAGTACACCAAGTGCAGTCACCTTCTAGTTGAAGACACCGCACTAGTGGAGAATGGTCAGAGGCAATAAGAGCAGACACATACCTGACCAAACTGCATGCTCTTTTCCATATTCACAGACACTGCTTGGAGAAAAGCTTTCCGATTCGATCCTTCATCTAGATGAACTCCCGACTGTTCAAAATCTTCCACAAAAAGGCCCAACACACGCTTATCGACCTCATTTGCACGTGCTTCGGGCAACTCGGTACGTGGGTCACTTCGAGCAGCTTGGGCAGCCGCTTGATAGAGATCAGTGTCTGTATTTAAGCTCTCGACCAGGTTACCCACGCGAAAACAGACCTCATTAGCTGCATTTCTGAAAGCCACATCTGGATGCAGAGTGCGTACACAATCTGCTAGATCAGCTGACCGACAGAGCGTATCCGAAAGATCATCCAAGACCTGAATGAAACGATATCAAGGAATAGTAAATAGAAAGATTTAGAGACAACTACGGACAAAAAGGGGGCGTTTCCGGGACCAGGTTGTTAAAATGCAAGCCACTGTACCACTTTACATGTCTTCTTTGAAGCCATTTATTATACGTGCACATATACTTATCAAGGGAAAAGACGTGTGACACCCTTGTGATGGTAGGAATCTTGTTCAATCCCATTCTGTCCGCCCATCAGTTGGGTTGCTGGCGACAAGGAGCTTTGTATCAATAGACGCATACCCTATATAGTAAGTAAAAAGTGCCTTAAGATATTAACAGACTAGATACGGAGAGAGGGTAGTCAGGGTGATGACTGACTGGATAATGGCAATCAATTCCGAAACAGTTATGTACCAATCTACCTCGAAACTCTGTCGTCTCCTCCCTCCTCCTCCCTTTACTATTATAGAGTGGCCAACTTCAGGCTTGCGGGTGGTTATCTCTTCGTAACCTCTGCTATCCATACGAAATTTGGTTGCTGCCGAAACTCGGTGGATTAGTGTGTGCCCATTGCTGACTAAATAGTTAGCCGTTCTAAGTTCACTGAAGAGCTGTAGAAGCAGACCAGGAAATGTACACAATAATGTCATTTCGCTCTCAAATAATTTTATCTCCCGTTATCAATATATATGTATTTAGGAAAGTATAAAATTCTTCGAGAATATATAGGTTTTATAGCGTAAAGTTTTTAGACTGGTATCCCAGTTTGTTGCGTATAAAAGTATGTAACTAATCAACTGTGGCCGACGTCTGCGCCAGTACGCGTTAATTGCATGTTGCCCTTTCTTCTGGGTTGGCTGTGCACGTTTTTATTTTTCCTTTAAGGTCTTTTAACTCGATATGCTGATAAATGCAGGCCTCATCTGAATGCATTGCCTCCGGGAATTCACGGCCTTTTCCGATTGAGCAGGCGCCAACACTTCCACGCGCATTTATGTCCGGTATCTGGTATGTGCATGGATAGATCTTCCTGTCTCCTGATCGCTAACTGGTGTTCGTTTATACAGGTTGAGGCGATTTTTCTGTTTGAGCAAAATAAACGGCCTCACACTTGGAAAATAAGATTTTTTAGACAACACACTTTCTATCACTAGTAGCCAATCCTGTTCTCGAGATGTACAAGACGTGTGCGCAAGATAGCTGTGGGTTGGTGTGCTATTTGTATCTGGCGTTTTCCATCTAGTTACCTTTCGACAAACTCAGAAAATTTTTTTACGTACGGGAGAGTTCAACAGATAATCTTTCTGCTTGGATGACCTTGTTTTTCGAAACTCCTGGTGATTTTGCATACTGCTATCAATTTACAAAAAATTATTGAAGATATATCCCGGTTCTGCCTGGTAACTTCCTTCATCAGAGCCGGGCATCTCGGCAAGATTTAGCAGGATGCTGACAGAACATTTTGGGGAGACCGGCAGAAATGGAATATCCCTTTAAAATATTTTTAATGGGTGCCCGTTCATTTGTTTCGTTTATCCCTGGGCCCATCGCATGACACATGTGGACAGGATGTTAAGACACTGTTTCGACTCTCCTGACCCGGGCTGGTAGAAAAGTGAAACAGAATAAAACCTAATTCAAGAAAAACGGAGAATACCAAAAATACGGAGTACATTGGAGCCTCGTTTAATCCATTCTGGCACCAAGCTCGTTATGTGAAACGCCTGTCTAGTGAAACGAGACAGCTCGTAGCCAATAAAGCTGCATAAGTTGATAGACTGTCTGCAGGCGACTGAAAACCCACGTCCTGGGAGCAAGACTCAATGGCGGA